TTCTTTAAAAACAAAAACAAAGACAATAAAGGGGGCCAACAGGCGTGGTGGTTAAAGGGTGCTTGACTCCCACACAGCTGACTGTGGTTTGAGTCCTGGACCTGATGGCTTGCTTTCTTACTCTCTTTCTTACTCTCAATTTGTTCTTCTCTGGTCAAATTAAAAAATAAATAAATAAATAGTTAAATTTAAAAAAATTAACTTCCCCAAAATTTAGCTTCTTCCTTAATATCACACACACACTTCTGTTCCCTCCATTATTCCCAGTATTATTATGTGGTTATTTAAGTTAGATCAATATTCAGTGTTTACATTATCACAATTATGTGTGCTTTTGGAAGTTCAACCATGTAGTAATTGCAATGATTTTCCATTCTTAGATATTTTTTTTCTTTCCCTGGAGTTAATGTCAACAGAAATGGGAGTGGCCTAAATATCATACTAGCAGGTTTGAGAGCAAACAATGTTTTGATAAGTTAGTTCATAATGAAAAAGAAGTCAATTAATTAAGAAGACATGACAATCTTATCTATTTATATACCTAATAATGGAGCTTCAAAATACATGAAACAAAGACTGAACTTTAAATGCATAGAAACAAAAAGTGGGGTATTAGTTGCCTAGGGCTGGGAGGTTTGGGGGACACTGTGAGTGACTAGTCGATACGTGATTTCTACTGGTACTAAGAAAGTATTCTAAAATTGATTGTGGCAATGGTAGTACAACAAATATATTAAACACTATTGTATCTTTTAAGTGAGTGAATTACATATGTGAGTTATTTCAATAAAGCTGTTTAAAACAGTATTTTAAAAGGTACTATACCGGAGGGAAATCTTGCAAAGATAGGAAAATATAAGAAATGGTAACTATGAGGTCATCAGGAAAGTCATGACATATTTTTATATGCAAAAATACATGACTTTCCTGACAACCCAATATCTGGGTAAAATCTTTCCTTACTTAAAAAAACTTTTTGGGGGAGGAAATTTTTTTAAAAAGGTTAGTTTGGGGAACCAGCAGTTAGTGTAATGGCTATGTCGCTAGACTCCCATGTAGTCGACCGTGGTTCATGTCCCAGACCCAGTGGCTTAAAACTCACGCCAGGCGCGTGTGCGTGCGTGCCCAAGATCCCGAGAGGAGAATGGAGGAGAAGGGATTGTGGCGTGAACATCCCCCCTGGGGGGTGATTTCTCGCTTTCTGTCTCTCTGTGTCTGTCTGTCTGGGGAGTGCACGCGCCCTATAGCGAAAACCTCTCCAAAAAAGAAAAAAAAAAAAAAGGTTAGTATGGAACCAGCAGATGGCGGGATAGTTACTTTACTGGACTCTCACGTGGACAACTGCAGTTCGAGTCCCAGACAGTCCCGGCAGCTTAAACTCATGCCAGGCATGTGTGTGTTCCTGGCCAAGATCCCGAGAGGAGAATGAAGAGATTACAGCATGGCCATCCTGCCTGGGGTGTGATTTCTCACTTTCTGTCTCTGTCTTTCTGGTGAGCACATGCACCCCTATAGCAAAAACCTCTCTTTAAAAAGAAAAAGCTTAGTTCGTTTCTTTTATTAGCTCATACACAACTACTTATCCTCCTCTGGAAGGACAAGTAGTTTGCTGAAGCAGTAGGTCAGACATTTGCTACATGAATGTCTGTTAAAATGGCTGGCCATAAACATGCTGCACCACATTCATCCGAAGGGCACTCTCAAAGGCGACTAGTTTTGCCATTTTTGTCCACCTTATAGTATTTCAGGACAGCCAGCTTAACCTTGTTTCTTTTATGCTTATTCTTCTTGGAAGTAGCATAAGACATCTTTACGTAGCACCATCAAATCTCAACACAAGATGAAATGTGGACTCTTTAGCTGTTGTAGTGAAATAAAGTAGGCCCATCTTCCAACTGCTTGTCAGCAAATATCAGTCTTTGCTGATCAGGAGGAATTCCTTATCCTGGATTTTGGCTTTTATATTTTCTATTGTATCTGACGGTTCAACCTCAAGAGTGATGGTCTTCTCCGTAAGGGTTTTAATGAAAATCTGCATCTTGGTGGAGGTCCCACCACAGGTGGGGATGGGGGTTTCCCCTGAAATTTTTTTTTTTTTTTTTTTTTTTTACCATAGGGCATATGTGCATGCCAGAGACAGAGAGAAACTAACAAATCACCCCCCAGGAGCTGGGGCCAACTGGTGGTGTGGTGGTTAAAGAGGATCCCACATGGCCAACAGGGCCAATGAGTCTGGACCAGTGGCTTGGAATACACACCAGGAACATGTGTGTGCCCAAAATCTCAGAGGAAAATGGAAAAGGAATTGTAGCATGGCCATCTTCCCTGGAGGGGGTGATTTCTTACTATCTCCCTCTCTTTCTCTCCAGTGAGTGCACATTCCCTATAGCAAAAATTAAAATCAGTAACAAAAAAAAAATTGACGGATGGGCTAGCCCTGTGGCCTTGTGGTTGAGGGAGCCAGATCCCACATAGCCAACCAGGCAGTTCAAATCCTGACTAGTGCAGCTTGAAAAACACACCAGGGGGACCAGCAGTTAGCATAATGGCTAGGTCATTGGACTCTCATTTAGTCGACCGCGGTTCAAGTCCTGGACCCAGTGGCTTAAACTCACTCTGGACGCTTGTGCATGCATGCCCAAGATCCCGAGAGGAGAATGGAGGAGAACGGATTGCGGCGTGGCCATCCCCCCTGGGGGGGGAGTGATTTCTCGCTTTCTGTCTCTCTCTCTCTCTGTCTGTCTGTCTGGCGAGCGCACGCGCCCTATAGCAAAAACCTCTCCAAAAAAAAAAAAAAAACAAACCCAGCAGGTGGGGCGTGCCTAAAATCCTGAGAGGAGAATGGAGGTGAGTGCAAGTGCCATATAGCAAAAAGAAAATCTCTCAAAAAAATCAGGTGAGGCTGGCAGGTGGCATGCTGGGTAAGGCACTGGACTCCCACATGGTGGGCAATGATTTGAGTGCTGGACCTGGTGGCTTGATTTCTCACTTTCTCTGGTCAGATTTAAAAAACAATAATAAAAGAAAATAATTCTTTTTTTTTTTGGAGAGATTTTCACTGTAGGGCGCGTGCGCTCGCCAGACAGACAGAGACATAGAGACAGAAAGCGAGAAATCACCCCCCAGGGGGGATGGTCACGCCGCAATCCCTTCTCCTCCATTCTCCTCTCGGGATCTTGGGCACGCACGCACACGCGCCCAGCGTGAGTTTTAAGCCACCGGGTCCAGGACACGAACCGCGGTCAACTACGTGGGAGTCCAGCGACATAGCCATTACGCTTACTGCTGGTTCCCAAGAAAATAATTCTTAAAAACACACCAGGCACACATAGATGCATGTTCAAAATTCTGACAGGATGGAGAAATGGATGAGAAGGGATTGTGATGTGACCATTCCCCATTGGGGGATGCTTTCTACCTCTCTTTCTCTCTCTGTGGTGAATGCACATGCCCTCTGGCAACTTAAGAAAAAAAAAAAATACCCAGCTAGTAGTGTGGCCCTTAAGGCAGCTGATCCCACATGGCTGATTGCACAGTTCATCTCTTTCTCCAGTACCTGCATGTGCCCTCTGGCAAAACTTTTTTAAAAATGAAAAAAAGTACTGCTATAAGCCAACAAGAGGGGTCAACTTACAAAAATCAGTGGGTGAATCATTAAAATTTCTCTTATTCCAAAAGAAGGCAAAAAAGCCGGAGTGTAGAGTGGAGGTGGAAAAAGATGACAAGGAGAAAAATAGAAACCAAATAGTAACTACATTTACAATCACTTTAACAAAAATGTTTTGAACACCCAAATTAAAAGAGATTGTAAGACTGGGTAAAAAAGACCCATTGTATGTCACCAAGAAGAGATTTAATTTGAATATAAAAACAGAAAAAGATTAAAATAGGTTCAAAGGAAAAGTATGGAAAAAGGTATCGCTCTGGACTGGCAGATGGGAGTCATGGTTAAGGTGCTAGACTCCCACGTGGCCGACTGAGATCCAGTTCGCCAACCTGGTTGCTTGCTTTCTCATTTCCCTTTCTTTCTCGTTTTCTTTTTTTTTTTTTTTGATAGTTACCTTTATTATTTTTTATTTATTTTACTTATTTTAATTGATCAGAGAAGGAGAGAGAGAGTAAGAGAGAGACAAAGTGCGAAAGCAAGTCCGCCAGGTCCAGGACTTGAACCGTGGTCACCCATGCGGGAGTCCAGCGCCCTGAACCAACCGCCACCTGCCGGCGCCACCTGCCAGTTCCCCCTTTCTCTCTTTTTCTGTCTCTCTGATCAAATTGAAAAATAAATAATAGGAAACAAAATTAAGTAATTTTAAAAGGTATATTACACTCACATAAATCAAAAGAAAGCTAGATATATATTAGACAACCTAGTCAATAGGAATAAATAAGGTTGATTCTTAATGATATCGGGATTAATGCAAGCGGACATAATCTTATATGTTTATGTACCGAGTTTCAAAATACATGAAAAACTGGCAGCTGAAAGGAGAAACACAAATCCACAATTAAGTTGGAGATTTCAACGTCCTTCCTTCAGGCTGTTTTGAAATGCGTGGAGACTGGGTGCAGAGGGAATGTGGCTAGAGTTGAAAAACACAAAAGACAAAAAAAGTATCATACGTGACCTTGATTTCCGTGGCCAGGGGCATCATGAACAGTACCATCATAAATCATTTCGACTCTATACAAGGTACTACCAGCATAGTTTTTCGTATTCTGCTTCGTTAGCCTGAATACCCTATGAAGCCGGCCCGGGTCGGGGCTTGAGAATGTGCAATTCTAACACTATCCCAGGACCTCACTTTCCGAACCTAGACCCAAAATTCTTTCATTCCTTTTTCCCGCTGTGATCGCGAGCGGCCGGCGGGCTCCGAGTCAGAGCAGAGGCAGGAGAACCCAACGTAGCCGCTTGAAAGCGACGCAATTGAGCAATAAGAAGCGGTTCCGGGCTGCCCAAAGCCGCGCGAGACTTTACGCGATTACGTCTGTGTTCGCGTCACGTTAGCGTCGGCCACGCTCAGCGGAGACGGCAGCAAGATGGCGATTCCAGGCAGGCAGTGAGTGATCCGGGAGTTAGGGTCAGGCTGGGCGTTGAGAAACCACGGCGACTGTGCTTTTGGCCGAGGAGTTAAAGTGCGCTGGAAATGAAGGGGCTGTCTCGTCAGGGGTAGAGACGGGGAAAACCGAGAAATCCTGAGGAACACATATTCCCCTCCCCCATACATTTTCCAGGATGGAAGCCCGAAGTTTGAGGGAGAAACTTGTGAGGAAATAAAGGAAGTTAGGCTGAGGGGCAGAGAGCGAGACTTTTCTATTTTCCAAAAGCTCGGTCTGAGGCCCCTCAGTCTTGCTTCCTACCCTGCGCTTGAGTTTCTCCCCGGTGGCTGCTCTCGGGGGCAGTAAGAAGAGAGACATTCCTGACTTCCTTAGAGGGCCTTGTTCTTGGCCGACGCTCCAGTCCTCATTCCCACCCTTCGTTCTCGTTTTAGGAATTTTGTGCTTGAGAAGCCACAGGAAAGGGTAGGCCTAAGGGAACTGCGGCGTATGTTGCTGCAAAAGAGACAAATACTGTACGTACGTGGGAGTTTCACCTTTGAAACGTAATCCTTAGTTTGATGCAGCTTCCCGTTATCTCTGCATCTTAAAAGCCAAAAGGTAGGAAAGGAAATGAGTAGGATCTAATGGGATGGTCCGGTCCTTTCATATTGTTTCAGATAAAGCAAGTGAGCTTAATGAGTTGTACTGGGAACTTTTCCCATAGCTACTTGAATGTGTCAGTCAATTTAATCTTTTCAAAGTTTTCATAGGTTATATGATATGATAACCTTTTTAAAACTGTATGTACACAGAAAAACTCTAGCTGTTCTCTTGACTTGTTGACCATGAGGATAATTAGAGCGTTTTTATCTGTATTGGAAGTAAACTTAGCTTTTCACTAATGTCTTTTTAAAAACGTAACCATTACTTCATCTAAAACATTTCTGATCTCTTCATTTGCTTCTCTTTCTTGATTAGAAATTGGTACTTGAGCTTGGCTTGTGTCCATCAATCACTTAAAGTAATAAGAGTTCTTACAATATATTAGAATTTTGAAATAACATAGTTTGTTTTGACTTGGTAGCTTCATCTGGAAGTACTAGATGGTTTTTTTTTTTTTTTTTTTCATTTAAAAATAATGATGTGATTTCTATTTCGAAAAAAAAAAATGCAGGTATGGGCTTATTTTGCCAAAGAAAACACAGCTGTTGCACCCTGTTTTGCAAAAACCATCAGTATTTGGGAATGATTCTGATGATGATGACGAGGTAAGGGAATCTATGTTTTTACTCCTGCATCACTGAAAATCCAAACTTTTTAAAAATTGAACTTGTGAACTTGATGTCTTTGCCTTTGTTATTTGTCAGTACAGTGTTTTTGAAGTATAATTTACAAAACTATCAAGGGGAATATTTAGAGAAAGACACTGTGATTTTCTTTATAATCTAAGACATTTTTCTTCAAAAGCTATGAACTTCAGTTACTTCTGAACATTTATACAAAGTCTTTTCAGACAACTAAAATTGATGTAACAAAATTGTTGGTGTAAATACCCCTAGGAATGATCTAGATGTTACCAGTTTCCTAGTAAGTTTTGTTAGGAAAGTATTTTCTAGTTTGTTAACTGTGCTCTAAGATGATTATTTCTCTATGGGACTACTTTTGTGGTTACTTCTTTAGTATCTGCTAAATGTAATTGCTCAGTTGTAATTATGGTTATGAATAAAATTACCATTGGTAAGTTCTGTGATAATAACAGCATCTAACATGAACATTTTCTATTTCAACAATCCAGTGTTTTCCTGTGAAACCCACAGTTTGTAGCAGAAACATTCCTAAATGTGTGCTCATCTAATACTTCATTTTTTAATATTATTATTATTTTTTTTAACTATTTCTTCAAAGAAAAATCTCAGTGAAACTGGTACTACTTTTGCTCTGGCAGATAAATAACTTTTCAATTTTTATCATATAATAGGATAGGTAGATAATTGAACATATATGATATTTCTTTTCCTCTTTTGACAAAATTAACTTTTATATAGCTCACACTTTTAAAAATTGAGGTATAATTTATATATAGTAAAATCAGCAGATTTCAAGTGAGATTGATGATTTTTGAAAAGTGTCTATGCCGCAATCAAGATGTAGAACATTTCCCTTTCCCCTGAAAGTTTTTCACACCCTTTTGTAGTAAGTCTGCCCCATGCCACTGCTCGTATGATTTCTGTCTCTATAGATTAGAATTTGTGGAATAATGTATCTAGAAAGGAGAGCATTTAGGAAAAGTTATTGTAGATGAGGTTTTAACAGGATTGAGCCATATTGTGGCATACCTTGAATTCTACTTAGGGAATATCAACATTATATTTAAAAGTAGGTTTTTGGTAGCTCAATGATACGATTGCACTTTTATCTCTTGAATTGTGAAACACAGGAGACAGATGAGCAATGAGGGTGAAGATGTCTGTTAGAAAGCGTCTATACTGGGACCAGTAGATAGCGTAATGGCTATGTCACTGGACTCCCACGTAGTCAACTGCGGTTCGCGTCCCGGACCCGGTGGCTTAAACTCATGCCGGACGCGCATGAATGGAGGAGAAGGGATTGCGGTGTGACCATCCCCCCTGGGGGGTGATTTCTCACTTTCTATCTCTCTGTCTCTCTCTGTCTGGCGAGTGCACGCGCCCTATAGCAAAGAACCTCTCCAAAAAAAGAAAAGAAAAAAGAAAAGAAAGCGTCTATACTAGTTAAGAGAGGAAATGAGGATTTTTTTTTTTAAGAGATTTTTGTGGGACCGGCAGGTGGTATGGTGGTTAAAGCGCTGGACTCCCACATGGCCGATTATAGTTCGAGTCCCAGATCTGGCAGCTTGCTTTCTCACGCTCCCTCTCTGTCTCTCTTTGGTCAGGCTGAACAATAATAATAAATAAAAAATTAAAAACAAGTTACTCTTTAAAAAAAATAGGGTGGGAGATATTTTTGCTATTGGGCACATGTGTGAGAAATACCCCCTGTCAGATGGCCACATCGCAATCCCTTCTCCTCCATTATACTCTCAGGATTTTGGGCATGCATAGACATGCACCCAGTGTGAGTTTTAAGCCTCTGGGTCCAGGACTTGAACCAAGTTGACTATGTGGGAATCCAGTGACATAACTGTTATACCATCTGCTGTCCTGGAGATAGGTCTTAACTAGGACAAAGTCAGTGGGAATAAAAGGGGACAGGTATGAGCAATACTACAGAAGTAAATAACTGCAAAGTGTGGCCACCAAATTGAATATATGGGAACAAAAGAGATGAATTGACTATTACTCTAAGGATTTATATTCTGGGTAGTTAAGAAAGTTAGCATAGGAGGGAAGATTTGCTATATAATACGTACATTTACAGTACAATGGGAGCAGCAGATATATATATATGTGTGTATATATATTTTTTTTGGGGGGGGGAGGTTTTTGCTATAGGGCATGTGTGCTCGCCAGAAAGACAGAGAGACAGAGTGAGAAACTGCCCCCAGGGCAGACGGCCACTCCGCAATCCCTTCTCCAACCCCCTTCGGGATCTTGGGCATGTGTGCGTGACTTGAACCTCGGTCGACTACATGGGAGTCCAGCGACTTAGCCATTATGTCATCTGCTTGTCCCAGCACATATATTTTAAGATTGGTTTGCAGCATCTTTTGTTTTTATCTTTATGCAAGATCTTTAAAAATTTCTTTTTATACTTATTTGAGATATTTTTTGTAATTTCTTCCGATTAAAATCATACTGACATACAACTTATATGCCATATGTCACTCTCTTAAAGTTCATTAGTTTTTAAGAGTTGTTCAACCATCACCACATCTAACTTGAAACATTTTTATCATATAGAAAGAAATCCTGTACCCATAACAGTTGTTCCCTATTCTGTCTACTCCTAAACTCTGGTAACCTTTGATCTTTTAAAAATTTTCCCCCCTTTTTTTTCACCATAGGGTGCATGCACACACCAGAGACAGAGATGGTGAAAGGGAAAGAAAGGAATCATCCCCCCCCCTGGGTGGGGTGAGGGGAGGGAGAATAGCTATGCTGCAGTTCCTTCTTCCTTCATTAAAATTTTAAAAAATTAATTCTTTTTTTCTCTTTTGTTGGTGGCAGGTGGTGTGATAGTTAAGGGTGCTGGGCCACCACATGGCTGATCATGGTTCAGGTCCCGGACCTGGTGGCTTACTTTCTCATTTTCCCTAACTCTTTTTCTGTCTCTCTGGTCAAATTAAAAATAATAATAATAAATAAAATTGAATGAAATCTTTATAAAAGACTTTTTTATTTTTTTAAAGAATTATTTAATTTTTATTTATCTTTTTTTTTTTTTTTTTCCTTAGAGAGAGAGATTTTTGGTTTGGGCATGTGTGCTTGCCAGAGAGACAGAGACAGAGAAACAAAGCAAGAATTCGCCCCCTGGGGGGAATGGCCACACTATAGTCCCTTCTCTTCCATCCTCCTCTCAGGATTTTGGGCATGCACCCACATTTGCCCTGTCTGAGTTTTAAGCCGCCAGGTCCAGGACTTGAACTGCTGTCGACTACTTGGGAGTTCAGTGACATAACCATTATTCCACCCGCTTGTCCCTTTATCATTATTCTTATTTTTAAATTTGCTTCAAGCCACATGTGTGAGAGAAAGAGAAAGTGAGAAAGGAAGCCACCAGGTCCAGGATTCAGACCATGGTTGGCTATGTGTGAGTTCAGCACCTTCAGCACTCCACCTGCTGGCCCCCCTTGTCCTCTGTTCTTCCAGGATTTGGAGCATGAATGCACACGTGCCCAGTGAGATCCTAAAGGCTCTGGGTCTGGAACTCTAACTGGGGTTGGCCTTGTGAGAGTCCAGTGCCTTAACCACTATACTGCCTGCTGACTTCCCATTAATCTACTTTTCTGTTTCTGTGGGTTTACCTATTCTGGACATTTCATATAAATGGAATCATGCAGTCAGTGACCTTTTGTGTCTGATCTCTGTTAGTCAGTGTAATATTTTCAAGGTTGTAACGTGTGAAAGAAAACGCCTCCCAGGGGGAATGACCACTGTAATGCTGTAATCTCTTCTCTGTTCTTTTCTTGGGATTTTGAATATGCACATACACATGCCCAGTGTGTCTTTCAAATTCCCTGGTTCAAGTCTTGAACCACATAGTTGTCCATGTGGAATCCAGTTACCTTTACCACCATGCCACAAGCTGGCCCTGTTTTCCCTTTTGAGGAACTGCTAGATATTTTCTGAAATGTCTATACCATTTTGCATTCCCATCAACAATATAGGAGGATTCTAACATTTCCACTCCTAACGCTATCATTTTTACTGTAGATGGCTAGTGGGCTTAAAGTGGTATCTCAGTATGCTTTTGATTTGCATTTCCCTCATGGCCAGTAATATTGGCTATTTTTGTATCTTTGGAGAAATGTCTTTTCATATCATTTACCTATATTTTAGTTGGGTTGTCGTTTTTAAGATTTTGCCAGAGGTGCATAAGCTAATCAGAGAGAGAGAGAAAATACCCCTCTATGGGGTATGGTTATGCCACAGTCAGGTTATTGCTATTTATTTTTTGTTATAAAATGAGGCTTGTGGTAGCTGGATGGTGGGTACACTGGATTGAGGAAAGATAGACCTGGGCCAGTTTTTGATAGCTCCTTCCTTCTCCGTGCTTCCTATAGAAGGACTTTGATTGTAGAGTTGGTTACATGGTTGATGGACGACTTGAGCCAAAAAGAGAATGGTGAGGCAATCCAGAGATTAGCAATAATAAGAAACTAGTAATGGTGGGACCAGCAGAAGACATAATAGTTATAATCCTGGATTCCCATGTAGTTGACTGCAATTTGAATCCTGAACCCTGCAGTTTAAAACTCACGCTGGGTACATATGCATGCATGCAAAAAAATCTCAAGAAGAGAATGGAGAAGGGATTGTGGCATGGTCAACACCCCTGGGGGGTGATTTCTTGCTTTCTGTCTGTCTGTCTGTCTCTCTTTCTCTCTCTCTCCGGCAAGCATACAAGCCTTGTAGCAAAAATCTCTTAAAAAATTAGGGAACCAGCAGTTAGCGTAATGACTATGTCGCTGGACTCCCACATAGTCGACCACAGTTCATGTCCCGGGCCCGGTGGCTTAAAACTCATGCCGGGCGCGTGTGCGTTCGTGCCCAAGATCCCTAGAGGAGAATGGAGGAGAAGGGATTGCGGCGTGACCATCCCCCCTGGGGGGTGATTTCTCGCTTTCTGT